GTGGCAGTGGGTTTTATGGCTTCGCCGGCCAACCACCGGTGGCAGTGTTCATCAGAATTCTGGTAGGGACAGGCGTAATGGGTATACTAGCTTAGAATCACGTAGCAAAAGAATTAACGCAACTCCGGATATAGAGTATCACGCGAAGCCAAAAGCAAGGTGTCTCACGACTGACTAAAAGTTGACCCTACCTGACCAACATTCGAAAAAAAAAGAACCATAAAAAATCATTCAAAATATATATGACTATAATCACGAAACAACTATACATATACAAACAACCACTCCCTCCGTCCCAGAAAAAAAAAGACAAACCCTGGGTTTCCATGTCTAACATTTGACCGTCCGTCTTGTTTAAAAAAATTATGAAAAAAAAATAAAAAGACAAGTCACGCATAAAGTATTAATCATGTTTTATCATCTAACAACAATAAAAATACTAATTATAAAAAATTTTCATATAACACGGACAGTCAAACGTTGTACACGAAAACCAAAGGTTTGTCTTTTTTTTTTAGGGACGGAGGGAGTAGTGCGTATGATCCATACCCGATATAATGCGCGTAGACACAACTATTGTTTTCCTAAACTCCGATGGTGAGAAACCGAGCGTAAGAATTGATAGATGAAACGTGATTAGATACTAACTATACGTATAGAAAAAAATTATAATGTAATTATATTGTAACTAACATATAATTATAATAATTATAGTATAACACGGTGGTGTAGATGCGCCGCGGCATCCACAGGTTGCATGTTTTCTTAACTTTTGTCACATGTTAGATAGCAATTATCTCTTTTTTTCTGAGGGAGAGAGAGAGGAGATAATAAAATACTCGATATTGAATTGCCGATGGATTACTCATTACCATGTGTATAAGGTATGATAACTCCAAATCTCATGTGCTTGTGTGTTTTTACTTTTTAGAGCTCTATAAAAATAACATGGGTGCTAAACTATTGTTCTGGAATTATTTCTTGAAGGCCCAATTAATTTCGGGCTGGGCCATTAGCAAGCAAGCCGCGTCGAATTTGTCGCTTTGAATGGGCCGGAAATGCTAGGGTTACCGTCTCCCTCCCAAAGCCCCGCCTGGTGATTCGCCGTCTCCCTCCGTCGCCGTGCCTTCCCCCGCCACCGTCCTGCTCACCGGCGTTCCGCCGGAACGACTTGAAGTCCACCTCTCGAGCTCGGCGGCCTCCCCCTTAGGGCAGAAGCGGACGAGGCGAATGGAAGAGGTTAGGGGCAGGGAGAGCAAAGACCACCGCGGCGGCGGCGGCGGCGGCGGAGGTGATGGGGACGGCGAGCGGACGGGACGGTGGCGCGCCGAGGAGGTCATCGCTGGGAACCGCGCGGTTCTGGAGGCTCTCCGGGAGCTCGTGATGTATCCTGTCCTCTACGCACGGGAGGCCCGCGTGCTCGGCCTCAATGTATTGTCGCCTATCCCCTCTTCTCTTCGTCCTTATTATCATCAAGTGCACCTGCTTGTAAATAGCAATCCATTTTTGAAATAATCTTTGCATTGGTGCAGTTTCCCAGAGGATTGCTGCTCCACGGCCCCTCTGGCACTGGAAAGGTACTGCTTTTACGGTGTTAATGTCTTCAATCCGGTGCAATTTATGGCCAATGCGTCTGCTTAGGCTAGGTTCATGTAGAGTTTGCTTTTATCTTGCTGTGGATTTTGCTACTGGTATCGCAATTTGTAGTGCTGAATGTTTTACTGCTTTTGCAATTCTGTCAGAAAAGCATGGTCCGAGCTGTTGTTCGAGAATGTAATGCCCACCTCACAGTGATTGAGTAATGACTTAACTCGAATTGGTTAACCTTGAAAGACTCTGCTTTGCTTTTAATTGCATATTTTGATTTGGCACTTAATTCACATAATGTACATATGTTTACAGTTCAATTTCTGTGCATAAACCCCACGCTGGAGAGGGGGAGAAGTTCATGCGAGAGGCTTTTACTGAAGCATATTCCCAGGCATCACAGGGTAGACCAGCCGTGATATTCATTGATGAACTTGATGACATATGTCCACCGCGTGGCAGTAGGCAAGTTTGTTATATTACCTACAAATTTTATATTTGCCAAGAAGTTATTATTAATGTATTTTTCACAGGAGAGAGCAAGGGTCCCGCATTGTTGGTCAGCTGTTGACTCTGATGGACGGGAAGTCATCAAAGCTGCTTCCCCACCTAGTTGTTGTTGCATCTGCTACCAGGTCAGGAATGTCAGTTGCGTGATTTGTGATCTTAGCAAATAGCCTAACATTTTAAGTTCATTTTAGGAAGTTCCTCTGTTGATACGGCAGCATATTCCACTAAGTGCGCTTAAGTTTTCCTTTAGTTATTCTGGTTATGAACTTCGTGTTTTTCTCTTGAATGAAAACACAACTTGCTTTCATTAGGGTGGATGCTATTGAGTCAGCACTGCGAAGGCCTGGGCGTTTTGACTCAGAGATAGAGGTTACTGTTCCTACAGCAGAAGAAAGGTTCGAGATTCTTAAGGTATCATATAAGAATGTAGTTTTCCCCTCAAAAATAGTAAAAGAATGTTGTATTTTATGATGTAACATAGCAAGCCCTGCATTTTTTGGATGTGGTTAACGTATGTTCATGATGATTTTTTCTTATATGAAGCTTAATCTTATAGACCATATTATGTTTTTAGCTTTATACCAAGAATCTACATCTTGGTGAATGTGTTGATCTTCAATCTGTTGCTGCATCCTGCAATGGTTATGTTGGAGCTGATTTACAAGCTTTATGTCGAGAAGCTGCAAGACGTGCTTATGGTAGATTATCAAGCTCATCAGAGAGTGAGAATGTGCTAACGCTAATCATGGAGGATTGGGAGTCTGCTAAATCTGTGGCCAAAAATAGTGTGACAAGAGGGGTAACTAAAGAAATTCCAGCTGTTTCATGGGATGATATAGGAGGTTTGAAAGCTGTTAAGGTAAAATATGCCTCATTTTAGGATTTCTTTAATCAAACCTCCTTTAATGGTTATTGTTGCTATGCTTCAGAAAAAACTTCAGCAAGCTGTTGAATGGCCCATCAAGCATGCTGCTTCATTTGATAGACTTGGAATATCACCTATCCGTGGGGTGCTATTGCATGGTCCACCAGGGTGCTCAAAGACTACCCTTGCAAAGGCTGCTGCTCATGCTGCCCAAGCTTCTTTCTTTTCATTAAGGTTTGCTGCGTAAAAATTGTTCTCTCTTTTTCTCATTTCATCCTTCCAACATGCAAAAAGAAGCCTGTGAATCGCATAATATTTTCTGATGTGATGCTTATATTGTAATAAATTCAATAAACATCACTTAATCTCAGATGTACTGAAAAGGAGTTATTAGAGGAAGCAAAAGAACTTAACATGTTTATTTCATGTACTGTTAAGACCAAGCTGGCATAATTTGTTCAAATTCTGCTGCTTGAATCGTTGTCCTGTACGCTAGTCCAAATAATATAGCTAGAACATGCTAACCGGATCATTTTGAGTTCAGTATACAGTCTTCTATGTTGTTCTAAATTTCTTACACATTTTCAAACAGTGGTGCTGAGTTATACTCCAAGTATGTTGGTGAAGGTGAAGCTTTGTTGCGACGTACATTCCAGATGGCACGTCTTGCTTCTCCAAGCATTATATTTTTTGATGAGGCTGATGCAATTGCCCCTAAAAGGTGCACATTTATATCTTGTCTCTTGTTGTCCTGTGGCACATACTAGTGAGATCTATGATACATGATGCATGATATTGGTAAAAATGATTCTGTACAATCATCATAAGAATGTGCATGAATTGTTATAGGCTATCTTCTATAATTACGTAATAATAATATTTGCATCTTTTCCATGGTGTACATGATTAGGAAGTTGAAGAGGTGTCAGAAGTGTTAAGCATATTTTGTTGGATATGGTTCCCCAAATGTTCTTTTCATATAGTAGAATCAATTTATGAAAACTTTGCTTCTGCGCATGTAAATCTAATTTCCACATCTGACCAGTGAATGTTAATATTGGAGTTTGTAATCGTTCAGAACTGGTCCCAGCGGGAACTCTAGTGGCAATGCCACGGTTGGAGAAAGACTCTTATCAACTCTATTGACGGAAATGGATGGTTTAGAACTGGCTACGGTACCTCTTACATATTTAGATTGACGATGGCATTCAAATGTGACTCTCCTTGTCATATCTCATATATGCCCTTTCTTTGTACTAAAAAAGTATCTTGCAATTTTTGATGTAGGGAATTATTGTATTGGCTGCTACTAATCGCCCAAATGCAATTGATGCTGCTCTTCTGCGCCCAGGGCGTTTCGATATGGTATCCCGATCTCCCTCTCCCTCTCCCTCACACATAGCAAACAAAATCATGTTCTTTTTTTCATTTTAACTGCAGGTTTTGTATGTTCCACCACCAGATGCGGAAGGTCGATATGAAATACTACGCATCCATACACGCAAAATGCCATTAGGAGATGATGTGGATCTTTGGAAGGTAGCAGAGCGTACCGAGCTTTTCACGGGCGCAGATCTTGAAGGCCTGTGCAGGGAGGCGGGAATGGCTGCCTTGAGGGAAAGTCTGAGGTCAGAGCGTTTTGTATGTGACGATATTCACTTCCAGGCCGCGCTAAGATCCTTGCGTCCATCACTTACACAATCAGTGGTTGATGAGTACTCAAATGCAGCCATCCATGGTCCATTGACGAGGAGAAAACACTAAAAGATGTATTATTCTGGCGCACAAGCATCAGTGTCGCCCATTGTTGATTCTGACTAGTTATCAGAACATTGTATCATCGGTCTGCTGTATATATTGACCAAAGTTGTGACATGTTCCCATATGATTGCAGCGGCTTGTACTGTTTCCCCTGTGTTTTTCTTGGGTTTTGAGAGTATTGAGAGACAGAGGTTAACACTAGAAGATAACTCTGCCTGTTAATAACTCCCAAGGACTAATAAAGATCTCATCTTCCCCAAGGAAGATTGCAAGCTACTAATATGAAATGATATTCAGAAAATGCTGCTGATCAGGAAATCCAAGTGTCAATACATAGAGATCCTGCAAAAACGCACTGCTTCTGGTGCTTAGACTTACACTAAAAGCAGAACATGCCTGTTTATGTTTCACATATATCCCCAGCAAAGCAATTTTTACAATGGGAAGAGAAGTTTCAGATATGTAACATCTTCTGCAGCATCTCCTATGCATCTTGCTCCTTGTAGACTAAGAATGCGCTGGTCTTGCAATAGCTGCGTGCCAGCGCCTTCCCGGAGGAAGTAGGCGGTGAGAAAGCGCACTGTGAGATGCACAAAGTCTCGCCTTCGAGGAAGCTTTTCCTGCAGAAGACGAATGGAGAGTGCCTTAGCAAGATAAGATAATATCAAACTCTTGGAAATGCTTGCAGAGCATAGAAGAGAACAACTGGACAGACAGATAAATAATTCAGTGATATTTGCAGTGTGATGTCAGTTAACAAATAGTTTTATTAGTCCTATAATCTGGTCAAAAGCTTGGAATTTGTCCAAATTGACAATGCGTGCTATGATGGATCTATACATTGTTGTTACAGAGAACAATGCATGCTATCCTTCTCTTAATGCAATGATGCGCAAGCCTTTTGCGTATTCCCCCCAAAAAGAACAATGTATGCTATCAAGAGTTCAAGACGGGCATTGCAGGAATGCTGCGAAAAAGAAAGATGCTAAGTGAAGCAAAGTAGGTGAGAATGCGCATCAAACTTAGAACTTACCTAGCAGCATCCATCAGTTGTGACCCTATTCGCTTTCTTCTGCGTGACGGTACAACCCAAATTGCTCGAAATCCACAATGTGCAGGAACATCTTCCTTTTCACATATTATAGCACCAGGATCTCGGTACTCTTCTTTGTTCTTGTCTGAATGATCATGCCGTTTCAGGACTTCCCTCTTAAAACTGATTTTCCCGAACTCTAATGTATGGTTTGTTTTGACTGGTTCAATTTTATCAACAGGCAGATCAGTGCCGTTTTCCTCTGTGGAGCCTGGAATCACTTTATGTGCTGTTTTGATTGGTTCCGCAACAAGGCATCCCACTATCCTCTGACTAGATATGAACAAATATACCTATGCAACGCAAATGAGGTTTTACCCATTAGGATGAATATATGTGCATAGATGTTGTCATATTTGAACTAGGAGCTGATGTTACCTTACAAAGCTTGTGAAGGAGCTGACCTTCACCAAACCCCAGCTCCTTCTGTACCACTTTGATCACCTCCTGGACCTGAAATATTCACATGACATTACATAATCATAAAATGTCTGCAATCTGCTTCTGAACTTCTCGTAAATGTAAAGTGGTTGCAAAATTGGATCAGAAACTTCGCAGTTAGTAAAGACACACATTCTACAGTTTAGAACTATGAGGAACCCACTCTTTTCAATATTCATTTCCCCAAGACCCCAACTAGTGATTTCTTTCAACTATCTAGGCAATACAGTTAGTCATTCAGGCAAAATACCTTGCTGTTCCGAGCACATGAATTTTCATCGGTCACAAGAATTATCCGATCCCCACCTTCAGACCTCGCGACCACGGTTTCATTGCGCCAACCCTGCAACTCAAACATTTGTCATAAACTCTTCACAGAAATTTATAACACGAGATGAACAGAAGAGTGAGATTCACAAATATACATCAGGTGCAACACCTTGAACGGGACGCCCTCGAAGTAACTCTTGTGGTATGCCTTGTGAGCCTTCTCGTCGTCGTCGTTCCCGCGGGCATACATCATGCCACAAACCGAGCACATGTGGAGGAGAAAATCGGGCTGCCCAAGCTCCAGGTGGAACTGCGCGTAGTTCCTCTTCTTGTTGAGGACCTTGCCATCCGCACAGCTCTTGGGCCTCTTCACCTCCATCCCGCAGGTTCCTTCCCTATGCGTGTCGCCACCACTTACCAAATCAACAAAGATTGATCAGTCCATTATCAAATCTGAATCCAGGAACATGCCAATGTCGGACAGCATGCTTGGGAATTAACGAGAACTAAATCAACAACCATTTTTTTCCAACCTGACGAGCGATTTTAATATTCGCTCTAATTGATGGAATATTGCAGAAATTCGCTACTAGAGTGGAATCCGGCAATATTTGGTACCGGATCGCTACAGCTAACAGATTTGAAGAGGGGACCAAGATGAAGAACCTGCTCGTCTCGGGCTCGGGGGCCTGACGCTTGAAGAACGCACTGATCTTGGGCTGCATCCCCTTCTTGCCTCTCGTCATGCTGCTTGGAAAGACGGAGAGTGAAGAAACGGACGCGGCGGTGGCGGCGGTGAATTATGCGAATTTGCCAGCAAATTATTAGCATGCATGTGTGCAACCTCTATGTGAAAATAGCTAAACTACAGAATTAACCAGTGTGCAGAACCCAACATATGTGCAAAACACATCCAAATCTGAACTACCATATGCTATATGAGTAGCCTAACAAAATCAAGAAGTATCATACCCAAAAATCCCCAGACCTAAGCGAGATATACACATCAACCCAAGAAAACTTTTAAAGGAGGAAGAAGAATGCCACTCACCGTCCAGCACGGGGCAGGGGGGAAAGAGGCCAGTGTAGCTCGCTCAGCGGGGAGGGGGAGGGATGCCCTCACGGCTGCGGCGGCGAAGGACGGCCTTGACGGGAGGCGGCGGCTGGTTTGCGGTGCAGCGCGGAGGGGGGGACAGCGCCCGGCTCCGTTGTGAAAGGGGGCGTGGCGAGGAGGAAGACGAGGGCCGCGGGTGGTCGGTGGGGTTAGGGCCAATCGACGGCGGAGATGAGGCGGTGAGGCCGTGAGGGCGGATCGGACGGGCAGGAATCGAGAAGGCCACGCGCGCAGGGTTTTCTAAAGGGGAAAAATGCGGGAGGGGGATTCGGGCGCCAAAACAACGGGCCTGAAATTGGCAGCGATGGACGCCCGGACGAGCGCTGTGACCTCGGAACGTTGTTGGGACTTGGCTGGGGGTGAAAACGGTATGGAAATTTTCTGACCGTACCGATACCGTTTCCGCAAAACTAATATAATAATAATATTTTTATCGATGGTTATCATTTTTAAAATTTAGTTTTTTTTAATTTCTAACGGTGTGGCATTGAAGTTGACACTAAATAGATGAATTCATGAATATGAAAATTTTTCGACCGTTTCTGCTTGTTTTTTAAAAAATAATAAAATAATGATGCCGTTTCCGACCATTTCCAACCACTTTCATCCCTAGACTTGGGAGAGAGGAACGAACAGGAGACTGGGAGAGGTGGAGAGTAGGTGAGCAGCAGTTGTCGTGGACCTTATTCTTATGAACATGGTGGGCTGCTGGGCCAACTCAATAGTCAATATTCATTATAATAAGTTCACTTTAGGTCTCTCTTATTGACGATGAGTTTAGATTGTGTCCTTCAACCAATTTGCAAGATCGGTGTAACCGAGGTCACATGACAGTATAACATCCAGTTTTAACTAACGTGACGAGTTGACTATTATCAATCTGGTTGAGTCAGCGTGAGACCCACATGGGTCTTACATGTTAGCAGCCAACTCTCTCTACCGAGTCCCTTTACCTAATATCTATCTACCCATCCCTTTTCCCCATCTCTTTCCCGACAGGAACTGGAGCAACTGCTGGAAAAGCCATCATGCTCAAGAACCCCGTAGTTACCTTGGCCACGTAGCTTGTGTTGCCATCGGGGTAAGCCGAGGGGGCAACACGATGTTACGCGATCGAGGTCGATGCTGGGTTCCTGAGGTTGAGGGTTGCTCGAGCAGCCGCCTGGCAAGCTCAAGGTCTTCTAGTCCACTGGTTGTCACCCCTCTCCCATTAGCTGCTATCCTTCTTCCCGCTGCTCACCGCCTTTCTGGCCTTCTCCACCGGTGGAGAGAAATTGGCAAGAGGGATGGGTAGAGAGAAGAGGCGATGAAGGAAAAAAGAGTTAACCGCTAATATATGGGGCTCATGTGGGTCTCACGTTTACTCGATCAGTATGATCATAGTTGGCTCATCATGTCAGTTAAAATAGGGTGTTATACTATTTTAGAATCTCGGGTACACCGATATTATAAATTAACTGACATTATACTGGTATTGTGGATAAGGACGCAATTCAAACTCAGCATTTAAATGTCGAAAGTGAACTTATTTCATATTCACTTATTAATTCCTATCAGGCCTTGATTAGGTCGTAAGTAGCTACACAGTAATAACGCAGTGCAAAGAGATGATGCGCAATAGTAAAAGGCACAAAGTCAAAATTAGTGTTGACATGTTGCCCAGTTTTCTACTACTAGTACATAGATTAATGGTGCAAAATTACCATGGTTAAATTAGTAGGAGTATACAGTACTATAATAGTTGCAAGGTGGGGGGTGTCAAGTCAAAACCTTGAGCGCGGATACCCATCAACGCACACTTGCTCTTGCTCAGCTCGCCAACGCCAAGATGCGCCTCGTCAATCTCTCCCACCGATCAATCGCGAGACCTGCATTCTAGCCGTGCGAATTCCGGCGGGCTTCCGCCGTAGATCCCCAAGAAACCCCCGGCAAGAAATCGCTGCCCAGATGGATCGCCAAGAGGAGGAGGACGACGACGCGGCGCTTCGAGAAGCCGGCGGCGGCGCCTCCTTCCCCGGCGGCTGGCTCCGGCGTCTGTCCCGCGAGCTGCACTGGAGCTTCGTGCTCGCCGTCGTGGCCGTCTACGGGGCCTGCCAGGGTGTCGGCGACGCCGTCGGCGGCGTCGCGGCGGGGTACTACTGGAAGGACGTGCAGCGCGTGCAGCCGTCGGCGGCGCAGTTCTACCAGGGGTTCGTCAGCGCCCCCTGGGTCGTCAAGCCCATCTGGGGTCTACTCACCGACGTCGTCCCCGTCGCCGGCTACCGCCGCCGCCCGTACTTCCTCCTCGCCGGTGAGGGGATTGCAGCCTCCTCCGCCTCCTCGATCCCATCTCGCAGTTCGAAGGCTTTCGCCTTACTTGATCACTTCTCTCGGTGATTCATTCAGGAGTGATTGGGGCGTCGTCCATGCTCACGCTCTCTCTCCACCGCAAGCTGGGCATCATGCCGGCGATCTTGGCGCTGACGGCGCAGAGCGCGGGCGCGGCGGTGGCCGACGTGACGGTGGACGCGCTGGTTGCTCAGAACAGCATCACGCACCAGCCGCTAGCCGCAGACATGCAGAGCCTGTGTGGGTTCAGCTCCTCCGTTGGGGCATTGCTTGGATTCTCCATCAGTGGTCTTCTTGTCCACTCCATGGGGTCTCAGGTGTGATATTCCCTGACCTTAGATAATGATTTGCATCATCATTTGTTTTCTCACACAATGTCAATTGATATGATTGTGATTCTTGCTTTTTTTTTCTTTTCTTGTTCTAAGGGTGCTCTTGGATTACTAAGCATCCCTTCTGCACTGGTGTTCTTGGCTGGTGTTTTGCTGAAGGAGAGGCGAGTTACAGATTTCGATTACAAGCAGGTCAGAATGTCAAGACAAAATTTGAACACCTTTCCTTTTGTGTGTTGAGATTGCTGAATTCAGGCATGGACAGTGATGCCACTTGAGTGCTTTGATGGATTCAGGTTCATAGGAAATTCTACAAAGCAATTCAGTCCATGGGGGCAACACTGAAGTGTGCCGAAGTTTGGCGGCCGTGTGTGTATATGTATGTTTCTCTCAGTCTAAGCCTGGATATCCAAGCAGGAATGTTCTACTGGTACACTGATCCAATAGTGGGACCAGGATTCTCTGAGGTATGCACATTCCTGCATATAGATATTTGCTAGATATCATCAGTTCATCGCATCATTTGCATGGACTGTAATACTGAGAATGCATACCACTGTTAAATCCATATAATGAGGTGTGGTTTTAGATAAATTCAGTTATTTGACCTTCTTCTAATTTTAATCATCTGATGACACTTCGATTGCGTCATTCGATCGTTTATTTCAGGAATTTATTGGCCTTGTGTATTCGGTCGGTTCAATCGGTTCGCTGCTCGGAGTTTTACTATACCAAATTTCACTGAAGGACTGCCCTTTCCGCGGCGTGCTATTCTGGGGCCAAGTTCTTTCAAGCCTGGCAGGAATGCTCGATCTGATAATGGTGACCCGGCTCAACACAAGAATCGGCATTCCGGATTACGTCTTTGCGGTGATTGACAACAGTGTCTCCCAGATGGTTGGGAGGCTCAAATGGTTGCCGCTCCTCGTGCTTTGCTCCAAGCTTTGTCCTCCAGGCATCGAAGGAACTTTCTATGCGCTGCTCATGTCCATCCAAAATGCCGGGTTGCTGATGTCTGGCTGGTGGGGTGGCCTGATGCTGCAGTTGCTGAATGTGACTCGAACGGAGTTCAGTAACCTCTGGGTTGCCGTCCTGATCAGAAACTTGTCGAGGCTGCTCCCGCTGATGCTGCTGTTTCTTGTTCCCCAGAGTGACCAAAACTCAATGCTCCTCCCGGCAGAGATGCTTCAGGACAATGAATCTACTGAAGCTAGGAAAGGAGGTCAAGACACTGCTGAATTTTCCGTCCTTGTCGCAGATGATTCTAGCTGTCATGCTCTGAATGTGGCTGTCGAAGATGAAAGAATCAAAGTGGTCGATGCTGGAACGGGTACTGTGGAGTTGATTCCTCTCATGAACGAGCTACAAGACCGTGGGAGTTGACTGACAAGCTCATGAACAGGATACTTGTCTTCCATCCATGATTCATTCTATACCAAATTACCAATGGCGTTCTGGTTCTGTTCTCCACTCTTTGGTAGACTAGTTCTTTATGTATCATCAGCAACAGCACATCAATAGGTTATAGGTGAAACAACAGTTAGTTTTCCTTTCATTTTTTGTAACAGAAAGAAGCACAGTATCATTTGGAAGGATATTGAGGCAGTTCCTTCGGGTTTTTTTTGGGTGTGTGTGTTTTTGTGTTTTGTTCAAGCGTCCTTTTGGGACGTACGATTTTTAGAGGAATTTCATGTGACTTGAACTGTTTCATCATGTGAAAATTCTGTAAAATTCATGAATTCCAAAGGTGCTCACAAGATAGTATGATACTGTCATAGACACAGACAGACAGAGGCAAACCATTCCATTCAAAGCCAGAATACTGCATCGGATACGACAGGAGGCTGGCGACCCAAAACCTCGCGTTTTTCTTACAAGAAACAAATCCCAGATATCTCACACCACGAAACAAACCGCAACAGGATACCACGGCGATCACGCTTGTTTGCTGATTCACCTGCCAACGGCGATCGATCACGCTTTACTGCTGTGCTAACCTCTTCAGGTGCTGAAACATCTCCTGCTTTATCCACCGACGGTCGTATGGCAGGAAGGCATGAAGCGACCGGTCGAACCTGCGAGGTGTTGAGGGCACAAATGGTTAAGTTAGTTCTAAGCGCATCAGTGTATGATTAGTAATGCTATTCGATGTCAGGGAAGCCGGCACTCACACTAGTGCACTTATGTCGGTTAGGCCATCGATGAAATTGTACAGGTCATTTATATCATAAGTTAAGTCCCTGGCCATAGGGTTGATATCCCTGATTTTCCTTTCGTAAAGGCCACAGATTCCTGTCATTCCATACAGCAAACTGTAAGTACCAAGTTCCTCAAGGGAAGAACACACATATAAACATAGAAAATGGATTAAGAAACAAGGAAGAGCACGCAATGCTTGTCCTGGGCATGATTAAGAACATAATGGGGATAATAGAGATGCTTTTCCCAAGACTTAGAATGGAAAACAGCAACAATCGTACAGCCGTTGGCATGGTCCTATGGTTAGCTGATACTTGACTGCGTGACTCCCAAACTATGTGAAATTTACAGACATTCATTTAATGGTTAAAGAAAACGTATGACTGTTATCATGTTGATTCAAATAGAAGCACTACGCATATTCCTCAATGATATTTGAGCTTTAAAGAGTAGCTTGTTGGGTTTTCTGTACATTAGCTATAGCATATCATGTTAGTTTATTAAAGCAATCTGTACACGTTCTGTTATATATTCCTACAAGGTTAAACTAAAAGACAGTGAACAAAAATCTGATGAATTTCCTGAATTTCAGTCCAAAGTACTAACAGATAAGGAGTAAATGAAGAAAATACTATGCCACTGCTTATATAGCTGAAGCAAGCAACAAATGCTCATGCAATTTATTAATGCACCACTTTTGTGATAAGTTCATAACCGGGAACATACAGGCACAAAAGGGGAAAGGTTATTCCCATAACTGCACTAACATTTCAAGCAAGCATGAGAGAAAATACCGACCATCCAGTGCATGGTTAACTGAATTGAAGTCCATAAATGTTCTTGTCGCTCTGTTCTGCGATGGTTGCATGAGAATGATGGTGTGCCTCCCGGCCTGAGAAAAAGGGCAGAAATCACATATGGTGCATAAAATGCTGGCAAACATCTAAAATGATTTTGAAAATGAAATAAGCTCGCATTACTCTAGACACTGAGAACGAACGGAACAATATCTTTGCCAGGGTGACCGAAGCTAATGTTATTTTTGCCGGGAACAATATTCAATGCACAGCGGAAGGCAGTGAATGCTGCAGCAAACCATCCCAGATTCTACCAGGAAAAATCACACTAACCAACCAAGCATTCCCGATTTCCCAAAGGAAGACAAGGAGAACTGCATTTGCACGCCCAACAGGCACAAACTAGATGATATCCTGAGCATTTCGGCAGCCCTACGCACATGAGCAGAAGCTCCACACCACAAAGATGGTATGATTTTGCATGCAAAACCCAGCTGCCTGTACGCTAGTATACTGTAGCACATGATTCTTCCTTGCCTTCCTACTACCCAAAGAGACGAGACAGCTGGAGGTTCTTCAATCAAGCATCAACAGAAGCAAGCAGCTGGGGGAGGAGAAGCAGGAGCGAAACGGGTGCATACCATGTTCCGAGCGAAGAGCGCGCCAGCCGCCGATGCAGCTCTGGACCAGCACACGCGCCCGCCGCCGCGCCGGCCGACGAACCCTAAAAAGGAAAAAAAAAAGCACGCCTCGATTAGTGAGTGGCACTGGCACCACAGGGCAGGGCGCGAGCTCCTCTCGTCAGGTCCAATCCAGGCACGGGCGGGGCGGGGCGGGCGGAGCAAGACCAGAGGAGAGGTGTTACGCTTACGCGAGGAAGATTCGATTGCTCGCTCGCGTTCGCGTGACAACGAAGGGGAAAGGGAAGTGGGAGGTGGTGGAGCCGATCACTCGCCGCCGAGAAGCACACGAGACTAATGCTGCTGCTGCTGCTGCTGCAGTGCAGGGCTGCGTCTGGTGGCTTAGGAGCAACGCAACGAGGGGGTGGGTGGGTGAGCGGTGAGCTTTGCAATTGATTCGATTTTGATCTCCAGCAACAGAGAGGGGGGGGGGGATAGGGACGGAAGGCTTCTAGCGCTTTGTCTAGTACTATTATCTAAATTTAAATTTTGGTTGAAATGTATGCCGTACTCTCTTCATTCTAAAAAAAACTTAATCTAAGAGATGATGTGACCTCTCTTTCTAAAAAAACTGAACTTAGGGCTAGTTTGGTTTGAGGCATAAATTTTACTTACCAATATTTGACAATTTTAATAATGTGTAGTGTCTATTTGGGAAGCCAAATTTTAGAATGTCTAAGAAAATAGGCCATGATGTGATCTCTCCTTCTAAAAAAAACTGAACTTAGGGCTAGTTTCGTAAAAAAAACTGAACTTAGGGCTAGTTTGGTTTGAGGCCCAAATTTTACTTACCAATATTTGACAATTTTAATAGTATGTAGTGTCTATTTGGGAAGACAAATTTTAGAATGCCTAAGAAAATAGGCCATTTCAATAATTAACTTAGGCTATTTTTGTTTAGCACAACTTTGCCTTCCTAAAATTTGTCATGCCAAAACTTACCAAAATTTAGCATTGACAAAAATTCCAAAACTTACCAAAATTTAGCATTGACAAAAATTCCAAAACTTACCAAAAATTGATAAGGCCAATTTACTAGCCCTTAGGAAACTTAGCTTAGGAGACGATGTGAACTCTCTTGTTATATTGATAGTATGAAGAATGTCACGCACAAGCAGGCAGCCCACAAACAGAATCATAGTCAAATGCATCAGCAAGTAATTCTGAGGAAAATGATAAAACTTCATCGCACACGAGGCACGAATGCTCAAGCAAACCTCAGAATTAGGTATCAAAATTTGACCGCTACAATGACACGATATATTGTAAACCAACAGAATACTCCAAAACCATAGTACATTGTTACAAAATGTGTACGCACAGAAAAGAACTAATAAAGGGACACAAAAATACCACATTAAGCCTTGTTCATCTCAGGCTCCAGCGAATTAAGCTGTCACCCGATAGCAAAATCCATGGCTTCTTTCTTTCCTTCGTTGTCGAAACAATAATGAACACTCATCTGACCTTGCAAAAATATACAGCACAAAACTGGCTGTTGCTCACATCTCCAGTACGAGAGTTCCTCTGGGGTGAAACACCTAAGCTATAGAGAATACACGATGCTGTTTTGGCTAGGCACAGCATCCAAAAGGTTGATATGCCAAGGCTGCCAAGGGGCTATTATTTCAAAAGTTTGTTGCAGGCGTCGATTACCACAGCATGCGAGCTCAATATAGCCTGACCTGAAGAGTTTCCGCCCATGGTTTTCATGACAGCATCAAAAATTCCTTTGCGGAAGTATGTATCCTCCACTGCTTTTAGAATCTCCTCAACAACTTCAAAGCTCAAGCCACACGACAAACTCAGTCGTGCAACAACTTCACCAAACAAGGCTGGAGCTAGAGGAAGGTCAATACCAATATCTTCCAGCAGGGCTGCATACAGTAAGCATCCAGTTTTCAGGTCCTCAGTCTTGAAAATTTTCTTGGCGTGCAGATGCTCCAGCAGCCTAACAAGAGGATCAATGAAGTTGGGACCCTTATCCAAAGCAAGATTGATAGCTTCTTTCACAATCTCAGAGTAGTACTCAGGACACTGAAGCTCCTCGATACATTGTTGTGCTTCATCCAGAATACGTATGCCAAAATACTCTTCAAGAAGGGATACCGTCTTCTTCTGAACTGCAGCTGGCATCTCATGGGAAGAACCGGCTGCTTTGTCTGTGACAGGCACAACAGCTGGAGCTGCACTTACAGGTTTTGGTGATGGTGCAGTTTGAGCTGGTGTATGAGTGAGACTAGCCATAAGGCTGGAAGGGCGAGATGGTGGACCACCACTGCCCAAAAGAGCACTCTTACCAATTAGTGCTCCACTTCCATGAGGAAGAAGCCTGGAGTTAATAGATGATGGCTTGTTAATAGATGATGGCTTATTAAGCAACGGACCCTGGTTACGAAGAGAGTCGCCTCTTGGCATTGATTTAGAACGTGGAACTTCCCAGTTATCATTATCTAACCCAGGCATTCCAGGCATCTTTCTTGATCCAGGCATACCAGGTGTTCCAGGCATCCCAGGCATCATCCCTCCTGTTCCTGGTCGATTCATTGGGAATCCACCAGGGGAAAGAGGACCACCTGGTGCATTACGGCCATTCCTCGTGAGTCCTGTTGCCCCTGGCCGTAGTCCAAGTGTCTTCATAGCCTCATCATGAATTTCACTGATTGTCTTGGCCTTAATCTGAAGATTGCAAGCATCACAAAACTCAGAATGGATAATAAATTTATAAATCCAGCTAACCAGTGATTGCTAATACAAACAGCAAACTAAGAGTGGGAACAAAAACATTGAAGCCATACTTGGCATTAAATTTAGTGTAAGCCAGAAACAACATTATGGTACCAAACAGAATGCTTCAATGTATAGTCAAAACGGTGAACTGATGAATTATTTCAAATATGGATTATAAACATGGCCATTCTCTTATTAATATAGGGGTGTACAAAGCAATAGACAAACCCGTTGATTCTAAATAAATATATGCAATTTCATAGCACTGGCGATTGCTTGCCATTCCCACATGAGCATGCATGTTTATCTAATAAGCTCACAGTTAAAGAGCCACTACAGATAACTATGGTGCTAGAATTTGGTAGCCATTGACCAAAGTACTCATAGCAGCACCTCGGTACAACCAAGAGACTAACGTCATTATGAAAGAAAGACAATGCATGTATAAAAGATAACTAAAATAAAACACTAGGGTGATTTTATTTACCTCTTCACGTCGAGGCACCCAATTGTTTGAACGAAGATCAACCACATCACGAACCATAAACCTCAGACGTGGTGCCAACTGAAGGTTTGTTGTTAACTCCTTCATCTGAATGAAGTAGGTATCATTAATTCGACGAGATTTTGGGTTCTCGTCAAGCTGTTTACCAATTGTATTGAAGAACTGACAAATAGCCTCAACGTTTTCCTCTTCAGGGCAAGCCTTTTTATCAGGTCCAGACCCCAAGAGTTCCTGCATATAGAACAGATTAGACAAGCTACCCCTGAATAATAATAACTTTATTACCAATTTGCTAATGCATACCTGAACAATGTGATGAACTATCTTTTCAGGTACCATCTTTTGCTTAAGTAGCTCACCAATTAGACGGATATTTCCAAGTGTTCTTAGTTTGACAATCCTTTCTTTGTCCCTTCTCTCCATCTCTTGGTCAGGGCCAGTCAATTTTGCTATTTCAGCCCTTAGGCTCTCAGCACCTTCAAATGCTTCCTGACAATTGTTCAACAGCACACGCTTGAATGTAATCTCTTTGCCACCTGGTTCTTCCGAAGGGAATGATGGTAGCTTCTCATTGAGATCGGAACAAAGTTGAGCATACATCGGACAGAAGGTGGGCTCAAAAACAGCCTTCTCAAATATGAGAGAAATAACATCCTGAATCAAAAGCAGAAGATATATTAATCACAAGGAGGCTAGCAAAAAATAGAAAGCTACAGAAAAGAGATCTAAAATCATCCAACCTTTAGAATATCAGCAGTGGTAATTCCAGATTCCATTAGTTGGCCCTTGAGTAGATCAAATTTCTCCGGTGTCAGTTTGTTTAGTATACTGCATACGCACAAGAAAAACAGGCAGCAAGTCAATGCCAGAAAACTGTGTTATAAAGAAATAAAGAAATAAAGAAATAAAAGCACTCAAAAAGGAACAAAAACATGAAAAAGACTGAACGATAATTATGATACCCTTTCACTGTTTTCAGGACTCTATCTTTCTCTGAGAGATTGCCTCTTCTAGCTGACCAAGGTACCTCAGCCTTGATAAGAGCAGGAGTCGGGCCAACCTGAAAGACATACATCAGCAAAGGCCTGATCACAAAGTCACAAATACATACAAGTATACAAGTTATGAAAGAAAAATACATATTAAAACATGTGAATTGATTTCATACAACAAAATAATATGGACTGTCACATACAAGACAAACTGACATTGTTCTGTACCAATTTATAACCCGACACTTCTTCTGTGGTTTACATTTCAACATTCATTGCAAGAAAGATAGGGTTAAAAGAGCATAGATGGCACTAGTGATCAATTGTGAATGAGGGGACAGCAAAATGTGTAAATAACACTGTTGAGTTGGGTAGACGATCCCGCAAAAGGCAAAACCTAGTTAGTTTAGTAATTTGATGAATAATAATAGCCATGGATTAACCGAGGAGGTTACATCAGACATAATCAACAGAGGGAACCAACATTAATTCCGAATCAGTAGCTACCACTAAGCAAGGCTACTTCAAAAGCAACATTGTTTAGCGCAGGAAGAAATATGAGCTTATTCAAGATATGAAAAAAAATAATGAATGAATAAGGTCAAATGGAACAAACTTTACTGATAATTCTTGTCTTGAACATACCTGAGCTTTTGAAGCAAACTGGTGGTTTAATTGATCCTGCCTGTTAACTTGCTCTTGTTGCCGACCACTTGAAGCATGTGCTGCTTTAGCTTCACGAATGTTGTCCCAGGACTTCTCTTCATTAGCTGCCGGAGGTTGAACCGTGCGTGCACGCCAGTCACGGTTATCTGTCTCACCATACCGATTGTGCGGTTGCGCCTGGGTTTGTGTCTGCACTTGCACCTGAACAACAAAAGACTACAATTTGAGACAGAATTGTATGCTTCAACCAGACCAATTGGTAGGATTGATTAATACGTATGGTAAAACCAAG